GTCAATTTCACTTCTCGTCAATTTCACTTCTCGTCAATTTCACTTCTTGTCTTGTCTTGTTCTTGAAGGAACAACACAACAATCTACAACAGACATCCTACCTTTTATGTGCGACAGCTTGGACTGCGGTCTTCCTAATTTTTGCCATCCCAAATCCTTACTAGCGTAGTGACCCTTCTTCTTGTTGCGTGGCCCTTCCAGAGCAGGGATGTGAGGTGTAAGGATGCTTTCAGTCACTGGTATACAGATACCTGCAAGSAAAGTCAGTCAGGCATAGCTTAGAAGAACAAGAGGAAAAGCAACTGAAAGGTGCTTGGATGAGGATGGGGACCCTGAGACTGTGGGGACCTCTCCTTTCTAACTGCTCCCCCGCATCCAATTTCACCTTAACTGCTTCTCCTTGGATCTAAGCAGCTGGAGAMCACTCTGAGAGGGCTCACACCTGTCTCTGCATGAGGCATCTTTACACAGCATGGGAACACAGACATAAGGTTACRCCACCAAGGAGTGGTTTCAGTAGTTCAAGGATTCATTAAGTGTTAGGCTCACAGAGTCATAGATTAGACTGGTTTCCTAGGCCATTTTGAAAGATGGGCTTAATCCAGGAGTACAGTAATAATATTAAGATCATCCAGGATGTTTTCAAAGAGAAAAAAAAAGTCAGGACAGGTAGCACACATAGCTAATACTGTATTCCATATTTGAACGTTTTTAATTGTTTAGAAGAGGAAGTACAGTCACACAAATATAAATACTTTTGCCTAAAATATGCAGAGAAATAGGTGTATTTTCAATAGTGATTACTGAAATGCTCARTGTAGGGAGAGAAAGATGAGAAAGGGCAGACATACCGTTGTTGCAGCGATTCCCAGGGCAGCACATGCCATCTCTGTGGCAACGCTTCTTCCTCCTCCTGCACAGCATGCACACAGACGGTGCTTGGTGCGGACTGTGACAGTATCGCCCAACTTCACATTCTTTGTCGTTAGTACAAGGATAGACCTGGTGGGTGAAAGGAGCCGTTTGCAGTGAGGCAGTCCCTTGCGCACCGCACAACGGGCGCGATACCATTCACTGGGACTGGGAGACACGGGTGGGGATGCCTCATTTGATGCCATAGAGGCGCCCTTGGGCTCTGTAAGTTGCTGTCAAAGCTGTATCAGCCTCAAGAATCAGGGAGATGAAGACASCCAGAGCTCAACGGTTTTCTCTTTCCTTGTCTCAGGTGTATTTTGGCCCAAGAGTCCTTGTATTTTTGTGGGCTCCAAGATATGCAGACCTCTGGTTCATAGACAAGAGCTTAAAAGAATGAACGAAGAACAAGTGGAGGCAGAAAACTTCTCTCAGTCCATACAAGTCCCAAATACAGTCTGCATTAGCTAGTACTTAACTGTGGGTTCAAACAGGGAGCAGGCATTTTTCCTTGAGCGCTGTCAAACTCATTGGTTTCGCAGAGTGAACATCTGTACCCTAGTGGCACCCCCTCCTGTCCCACACCAGCTGGGCTCTTTGAACGCAAACAATCCTCCCTCMTCAGCGTGCACACGAATACCATTTTCTTCACTTCTGCCCTTAGCATCAATTGCTACCTGCTAAACAACATTCCCATGACACGTAGCACGGAGTGCGTTGGACAGCACAAACTCTCTTGCATATTTAGCTCCCCACAAGCAGAGACACATGTACAGTTCTCCTCTACTAATCAAAACCAGTATTATCCTACAGGAAAACAACTATTAAAAAAAAAAAAAAGTAGGCACTGAGTGCAAACACCCTATACAGCCTTCCTTATGGAGCGTGTCAGAGAAGKTCACTGCAGACAGAACGACACCGTGGTTTGAAGCAGCATCGTGACACTGCCACACCCTTTTGCCGATTCCCACACAATTACAACTATTTTTCCTGTCTGCATCTAATTTTAGAGCCTATTAAAATCATTATAGATTTTTTCCATTCCTCCAAATTGTATTTGGAGAATTTGTTTAGATAAAAAGATGAAAATAAATCTGGAATGCTTTCTGGAAAATGATGTTTACACTTTCTCAACTAATTTTATCCAGCAATTTTAATGAATCAAAGCATTGCATTCACTGTGTTCAAAATGACTCTTATAATCATTTGCCTAACAMAAACAAAAGCTCAACTGACTGATTTTCAATTTAGAATGATTACTTCTGTAATATCCTAAAATCAAGCCTTGAGTGTATTGTTCTCAGAAACAAAATATTTAGAGTTGAGAATTTCTGTGAAAAATAATCATTCTAGATGAAGAACTTTTTTCTGCTTTTGTGCCATTATGTTGAGCCTGGCAGAACAGACAAGAGACCTGATACAAAAAGCACCAAGTTTCTCTAGYACCTTTAGTTGGGGGGCCCATGGCATTTTCCAGGTGATTTTATAAGCAGTTTTCTTTGTCAGAAGTTATTTTAAAATTACCAAGGTGCTGGCTGCATAAGTTTTCCTAGAGTTAAGTGGGACCTCACTCAACTAGGTACCTTACAGCAAAGGATTTTATGTAGTTTTTATAGAGGCATTCCAAGTTACAGCGAATTTGGAAAATTCTAATGCTGCTAGGAAGGGGAAATACAAATAAAGAACAGATGAACTAACTGAACCTGGAGTGGAAGGTCCGTTAGACCTTGTCTGTCATCAAGCCCCTCACAACCATATCTTTCCGCCCTCCCCCGCCCCGAGATGGGCATGTGACATACACCTGCAACAGCAGCAAGAAGCCTACTTGCAGTTTTCATGCAGACCCACAAATAGCTATAAAAGGAGAGAGGTCTTCAATGCTGAATGGCGGCAATGAATGCTCTCATACCATACATAAGGCACATTTTACTTCTGTCTTTTTAGGTTGAGCAATATTCTGAAGATCCTTAAGGCATTCACATAATCACCAACTCTCTCACCTCCATCTTTAAAAATGGTAAATCTGGCAAAAGACTTTTTGAGTTAAACATCAGCAAGGGAAGGAACATAACTCAGSCTCTAGTCCTGCTCTAGAGCCCCCATCCCAAATCAAGATGATACCTTTTGAAGTACAAAAAGAAGCCAAAAATATTTAGGTACAAATGACTGCAGCACATCCACTGATCAGTTTGTCCCGTGGGGAATCCACGTGAAAAGCCAAAAGATCACAGCTACATGAAACGCCTCTTGCAAATAGCCAATAACTTAGTTATCAAACACAGCTTGAAGCAAAAATGTAGGTGTGTAATATATACATATACATATATATCTGTCTCTGAGCCACAAGATATTTAGTGGGCTAACTTCCACCTCCAGCAAAGTAAATTTATCTCTGCAGAGTATTCAGTAATAAAGCAGAAGGAAAATAAACATATATAAATAATAATATATAAAAATAAAAGGTTAGTCTGTATATAGCTTCAGCTAACAGAAGGAAAAAATGAGTACACAATATCCTGACATAGGCAGTAGCTGGGCTCATCTACATATGCCTATTTTAAATTACAGGAGAACAGACAGGCATATAAAAAGGCACAATATCCACAGAGTAGGCGGGACTCGGCTGCATTTTGCAGCCATTGGCTGTGCCCCACTCAAGGTGCTCAGAACCTCCTGCCCGAGTGCCTCAAACACCATCTTCACGTTCAGAGAAAGGCTGGGAACATTTCCTACATGCATCAGAGAGATACAAATCAGTCCCAGATGGAGAGGGAAAAAGCAAGCTGTAAACCAGCCTCTGCTTCCCCAGCAACCATAACCAGCTCTACAAGGCAAATCACCCTCTCACATTCTTCGTCTCTATGTATCTTTGTCTGGTCATAAATCTCTATCCACTAAACACAGCTTTGATATTATGGGAAACCAGATGAAATGGAGATAGAATATGTAGCACACCCCRAAGCTGCAATCTTATTTAATTTTTTTTCACCCCTTCACCAGGCTGTCAGGTCAGTAGTAGCACGGACAAAAACAGATTTACCTGTGGCAGAGAGCTGCGTTTTCAGATTGGATTCCCAATTCCTGTATTTGCTGAGCACTTTTCTCTCCAGTCGTTCCAAACTGTGAAAAGTGAGGGCCCAAAAACGCACAACAAAAATGTATTTGATTTTATGCAACATTGGAAGATTTAAACTAAACATTTAAGCAAGCATTGAACATTTGATGCCATGGCGTTCCCAGGMCCAGTCCATCAAGGATAACTTTTACTAGACAAGTCACAAAGCCCGTAAACATTAACTTCTTTGGAGAGTGAGATAGAAACAGAATAGGAATCCACATTCCTGCTTTTCCTGAATTTATACTCTAAACACCAAGAGTGTTTATCTAAAATACTCAAGAAAAATGATGCAGACAGTAAGGAGGAAGTAGACACCCTCAGACAGTGTCTCTCTCACCCAGCTTTCATTTGCAGATGGGATGAGGTCTCGTTTGATTGTACATGGAAGCAGCTCCACGCTGTACTAGCTGTGCCAGAGAAAAGCATCAACAGCAGAAACGGGCATTTTTACCTGAACTGTGTCAGCCCTCATCCAGCACAGGCGGTCTCAGCCACTAGCTCARTTGCTCCGATGACTCCAGACTTTACTACCAATCTCTTAGCAATAGAAAATTTGATTTTGATAAAAGGTTACAACTCCTACCTGTGAGAGAAACTGGACATCAAACCCTATTTGATTGGCTTCACCCAAGGTCCCTGCACCCAAAAAAGAAAGCATTAACAACACAGCATCCAGATGACTGCATAGAGAGCCAGCAGCTCCAGCAGTAATTTGTGTAAACACCAGAAGGGACTACCTAGAAGTGATACTTCATGCAAAAGAGGATTAACAGGTCTGCGCTTATTGCTGCCTTCTGTAGCTTACAAGCATATTTCATACTGCAAAGCTGAARCTGCAGCACTGTAGGCTGTGTCGTGTGGCTCTCCTGCTCAGAGCTGGTTTACACCGAGTACTTACGCTAGGGSGACATCCTCTCAACACCTAGTGGTGTCAATCAAAGGAACCAATCTATCTTCCTGACCAAGGACTTGGTTCCCAAAAGCAAACATAAGAAATAGCCACATGGGTGCCAGGTCTGTTCTTGCTTTTCTGTCTCTCTAGAATTAGTTAATCCCAAGTAAAAGCAAGCCAGCGAATTAGGAAATGCAAACATGTGCTTTACCCAAACAGCCCCATGTCAAGAATAATTACCAAGAACGCAAGTCATTTTCTGACTCCTCCATTGGGAGGGATTCCGAGCGGGGACCTCAGAATTGCTTTGGTCTTTAGCAGAGCCGCGGCGGCTGCATGCGATGTGCAGCAGGCAGAGCTAGATCACACCTGGGGTTTATCCCCCAGGCGGCTTTTGGAGACAGAACGAAGAGCCTCTCTTGGAAGCTCAATGAGAAGCCCTAATGCAACCCTGCAGGACACAGACTGCTGCCTTTCATTCAGTACCACATGAATTAGACAAAGCAAACAAAAATGAAAAAACACAAAATTGTTTAAACTCTTACTGATACTATTTTTTTCTGCAAGTAATTAAAGCTTAGACCAATCCTTATTTTCCCAAATGTTTCAGACAAATCCATGCCTGACTAGCACACTTCGCTTAGCTTTATTTTAGCTACTAAATAAACCTGTAAAATAAGATCCGAATGGGAAATGACCATCACTTACTACTATTTTGGTTTTAATCCCAAATGAGAAGAGAGCTTATCAGGAGCCATCTGGAGCAGTGCAGTTTTCCCACAGCACTTTGCTGACGTTGCTTTATTCTATTCTTAGCTCCGCACATGCCTGGATGATAGCGAGTGCTCTCGCTGCGCACGCAGAAAGGAGCCCCAGCTCCTTTATCCCACGGAGGAGCCCCCGCTGCGCTCCCAGACAGCTCCAGACGCAGCCTCTGTCTCAGCCTCTTCTCGCCAGGGAGCCTCGGCTCCCGGCGACTGCTGCAGCACAGACCACACCGGGCTCGCTCGCAGCCGAGCAGACTGACTCCGTTCAGTCGCTGCATTCAACTTAATTTGATTTTTCTTACTGAGCCTCCAC